CCTGGGGCCCCTGCTGTCTGCAGTCCTGGGAGCAGGTGGCCACAGTTTTACTTTTTAGTAGGAAATTAAACCGCTTCCAGCTACATGTGTAAAGCAGCCAGGCAGTTTTATATTCCTTTCATTAAGATGGGGTGGATTATAGGGCAATGGTGCCCCTAGTAATCATGGTACGCCATGGGGTGCCCAGGGGTAGTACAGGCTAGGCGGGCAGCTTGGGCAGGGCCCTGCTGGGTGGGGTGGGAGTGTCTGTGCAGGCACTGGCCACTTCCTGGGACACCAGCATAGCCTGGGAGTGAGGGGCTCAGATAGGTAGGACTCCTGGGGCATCCTGGCAGAAATGGCAAGGGGCCCAATCCTTTTTTTCGGTGGAGCCTGACTGCCAACACGCGCAGCCGAGCGGTGAGCTGCTGGTGGGCCAGGCAGCCCCTGAGCTGGAAGAGGGGGGGAGGAGGGGGAACATGTCCTTACCCGACATAGCAGCAATTTAAAAATATGTGTTAAAAAGTAATTAAATTAGTGAAATGACACTTATTAAATGAATGAAATCACAACAGTTTTGGTGAACTTTACATGTCGGCGATCCCCAGTCTATAGCAGGGATTAGAGGTTTACCAGTGCCTCCTGCTGTAATTCAGTACCAGTGATCAATGGGGTGGATTGTTATGCAGCTTCCGTGCAGTAATTTACTGTGAATAGCACATTTGAGATTTATTTGGTTTAAGAGCTGTCACTTGTACACAGTGACGGAATAAATTGAAACACACTGTGTCAAGTCTGGGGATATAAAATAAACCATTTAGTTTAGTGAGGACTAAACTGACGTCACATGTAGAAGTGCCCTCAGAGTCCCCTGAAATGATAGAATCATGGAAGTTAGAAATGGAAACTACCTCTTAGACTAAGATTATCCGGCTAGTAGCCCGAGGGACACAAGGATTTAAGTTGTGGCCCTGGACTCTCATCCAGCCACTACTCCCCCCTCATTGCTCCTGCTGCAACAGCATCTGGAGTCTCTGGGCTTTCTCTCCTCTTCCAGCTGCCATTTACGGCTTTTGCCACAGGGGGTGGGTCAGTGTGGCACGGTATAATGGGGGCGATCGGGACCATGCAGGGAGGGAAGAGAGGAGAGCACACCTGGATAGGGCAGTGGGAAGGGAGTACTCATGAGGACATGTGTTGCAGCAGGAGAACAAGGGAATTGTGCCCATATGGTCCAGTAGCAGGGGAAAGGGGAGAATGGTGGTGCAGTAGTTGGGGGTGCCTGTGCAGGTATATGGAGCACTGGAGTGAAGCATCCATGCAGCAAGCAGCCCAGTGGCCCACAGCTCACCTGATGTGGTCTGTACAGCGTGTGGTCCCCACTGGTGTGGCTCCCAGAGCTTTAGAAGTTGGACAGCCCTGTGTTAGGCTATTCAGTACGTTTCCTTGCCAGTACAAGATTGTTCCCTACAGTAAATTTTTTAACAGTTTGTCCAGTCTGGTTTTTAATTTGATATTTTCTGTGCGAAGACAGTGTTTTGTTCATGTCCTTGAAAATTATAATTCTACTGGATTGATATTGACCATAACTATCTCTTTGTGAGGACGACCATAAACGTTAGAAGCTTAACAAAGCCTTGTTTGGTCAGAATGGGTGATTACCTTTGTGTGCAATGTTGGCCTTTTCTGTCTAAGGCAAAGGGGTTGTTCTGCAATTTCGTAACCTGCAGATAGAAGTCAATATGAATGATTTATTAGTATTTCCTCTGGGTTCAGTTTAATGAATACTGACAAGCATACAGAATGATTTGATGTCTGGCTGCTAACCTTCAGGGGGAAAAAAGCCATAAATTGAACTTTTTAAAAAATTAGATGCTAAAAGTTTATATAGTTATTTTAATATAGCAGAGGAGGAAGATATGCCTCATCACTCATCAGCCCCCACAGGATTATTCTAGTTTGTCCTGCTAGATAAACAAATTGCCTCATCATATCAAGACACAGCGTCATGAAGAAATGGCATAGTATTGTAGCATGATGATGCCATCTCCCAAGCTTGGGGTCAGCACCCTGAGGTGTCTCATAATTGAACAAGAGGATTCTTCCAGAGATTTTTATATCCCTTGAAAAAAAAACAAACTATAAATAACCTGCGACTCTCTGATCAGAATTATTATAGCTGTTTTACAGATAGATAAATGGAGATACATCAAGATGAAGTGAAAGGCCTAAATTCAAATAATAATGAGCCTACTCTGGCTCTTTTTCACACTAAAGTCCTGCGAAGTTATTCCTGATCTGTGTTAGCATAAGGTAACATCTGCTCTACAAGTGGAGGGTGTGCAGTGTTCTGAGTGTGAGTTTGGACATCAAACTGTTCTGCATGCTTGTGGTGTCAGTGTTCCTTAAACTGAACCAAAAGGAAATGCTAATCAATCATTCATGTTGACTTCTGCTGGTGAGATTATACAAGCAAAACTGACCTTCAGTCCCCATAAGCAAAATAAGTAAAATCATGTAAGTCACCCTTACTGTAAAGAAGTTCTTCCTTGCGTCCAACCTAAAGTCATCCTCTAACAGTTATGGCCACTGCTCCTTGTCTTCCCCTGGGTTGCCCCAGTGAACAGTTTTTCTCCCAGCTCCCAATATTCACCCCTTGCATATATGTAGACAGCCACCAAGTCCCCCCTCACTCTTCTCTTCCTCAGGTTGAACAGTCCCAGATCCAGATTAGTCTACCAGTCCCAGATTAGTCTTTCTTCATAAAGTTTGTCCTCCAGGCCCCTAATCATTCTTGTGGCCCTTCTCTGGACCTTTTCAAGATTCTCCACATCTTTTTTGAAGTATGGCACCCAGAACTGGACACAGTACTCCAGCTGGGGTCTCACCAGCTCTGAGTAGAAAGGAAGTATCACTTCTGTAGTCCTGCTTGCAACACATCAGGTAATGCACCCCAGTATGCTATTAGCTCTGACTACAGCATCGCATTGGCTGCTCATGTTCATCCTGTGATCAACCATAACCCTGAGGTCCCTTTCAGACATTGTGCTGGCCAGGACATCTCCTCCTAATCTGTATTCATGTCACTGGTTACTTCTCCCCAGGTGAAGCACTCTGCATTTATCCTTATTGAATCTCCCACCTTTCCAACTAGTCCAGGTCATCTTGGATCTACATCCTATCCCTTACCATGACTGCTTTCCCCCATAACTTAGTATTGTCTGTAAACTTAGACAGCATGCTTTCCACATCCTCATCTAAATCGTTAATAAAGATGTTGAACAGCACAAGGCCAAGAATTAAACGCTGCAGGCCACCTCCCACCGGGATGATACAGACCCATCTACTAACACTCTGTGGGTTTGATCTCTTAGCCAACTCCCAACCCACCTGACCATGGACTCTGCCAACCCACAATCCCCCAGGTTTTTTTTATAAAAGAGTCTTCGGCAGGTAGATGCTAGGACTTGTACAAACCTGGTATTTTTGCTTCTAGTGAATTGATAGTTCTGTGATGTATGTGGTATAACAATCCATGCACCGGTCCACTTAATGCAGTTGTTAGAGGAATTCAATTTAAAATTTGGAATGTATGTTAAAGCAGCACAGATTAACCCAGTGGAGCAGCCAGAATGGTATATACCAATGCTCTCAAACTACTAGTTCTGAAGTGAACTTTAAATTGTGTTGTTTCTCTTACTGGTGACTTTAGAGGTTAGGTTTGTGTGCCTAGGAACTGTCTTATATAAGATGCATGATACATGGAAGGGTAGGGGTGTGGAAGTAAGAATAAAAATGCCTAGACAGGTTGGCTTATAGATCTCTCTATGCTTCCAAGAGATGGAGACCATACAGCCATGAGATGCTTGCTTGGTCTCTCTGTCTGGGTGCTCTGTGCTCAGCCCAGAGTCTCCAGTGCTCAATTAACTGAGACCATGGGCTGGAAGAAGTGTGCTCCCCCTTCCCTCCATGGTCTCTCTGCAATTATGCGCACAGAGAGTTGTTAGCCTGGAGCCAGGGGAAGCGGGGGGCACATGTGGGGACCCCATTAGAGATTTGGAGGGTGGGAAGTGGTTGAGAGCTATGTATCCTGGGATGCTGCAGGAATCAAAGGCATTTTGTTTTCCCACACCATTCATACAATCCCCTGAAATCTAGGCAAAACAAATCAAAGGTAAACCTCAGCTGGCATGGCATAACTTTGAAATGTTTAGAGGGAATGTTTGGCAGCTTAGCACCCTTTAATGACTGCTCTTGTTTTAATAACCTTTATGTTGGTTTTAAGGTAACCTGTGCCAAGACCCTAAGGTGCCACCCTCTCCTACCTTCTGCCTGTGATCAGTCTACTTATGCCAGCAAAAGTTTGCACTATAAACCTGACTGAAGTTGAGGGAAGAATCAGACCTTTTGCATCAACGACAGGTCTTGGGGATAGAATAGCCCTGGATCCTCAGATAAAATCCCTGGATCCTCCCTTTCCAGCTAGACCTTACTGCCTCTGTCTTAACATAAACTAAATGAGAGCACAGCAGCATAACCTATGGTTTTTGAGTTTGGGAGCAATCTTGAGGCTTCTCCTTCCAGGGCCAGTACTTACCAGTTTTGCTCACTGCCTCAGTTTTAAAAGTAATTTTTATTGGTGTGCTCAATGAAGAGAAGAGAAAACCATGAATTGGGGAAACTAAATCATGGTCCAATTTTGTATATCAGCTAGAGGACAACATATTCATCTCTGCTCTAATAACAGAGAGTATGCAAGCGCAGTTAAACAAGTAGCATATTTTGATCTATATTCAACTTCTTTTTTCCTCCAGTTGATTAAAGCATGCTTGATTTGATTCTGCTGCTGTTGAAATCAATGAACAAACTCCCATTGATTTGTTTATGATCAGTCAAAATGGAGTAACCTACCACCAATAAAATAAAATAAAAATTTCCATTGTAAGATATCTGTGAAGATATTCAAGTAGCTGTAATTGTTGCTGTGATTTAAGAATGGGTTGTGGATTTTTATGTTTCAGGTATGAGAAGTTCAGGAATGAATTTCAATGGTGCAGGCTTCCCTGGGGAGCAGAAAGAGAACATGGAGAAATTGTACCAGTTTCATTGCCAGAAGATCACAGGCTAAAGAATGAACCTTCTTGTATGTTTACAAAAGGACATCAACAGTATGGGTATAGTGGGGATCTCTGGCCAAGGTCAGTTGGTGATATGCATTAAATGTTGGAATTTTAAAGCATTGTTTTACCCAATATTGGCTAATAGAATACAGCATGTTTGGACAATTGGAGATCAAACCAGGCTGAACTTGAATAAAATAAATCTCATGCTGGTGCTGGACAGGGTTTGATATATTCTTTGTAAATTTTTTCAGACCCATATATTTTAGAACATCTGTATTGATGTTTTCTGTAAATATTTTTGACATGATGTGGAGTTACAGTGAATGGTTCAAGTACTGCAGTTCAAAACTCTGTGGTTATAACCAGTTGCTGTTAGAATGTGTGTCACATTTTTCAATTTTTATAACATCTCAATAGAAAATTTATGAAGAAAAGCAGATTTTTTTTCAGCACTTACCTGTATTACTTATTGCTGACTCTTAAACATTCTGAGTGGATCTCTCTCATCCAATTTACATAAACTGGAATATAAGGAAATTTTAAGTCATCGGAATAGGGATTGGCAGAGTTGGTATTATGTGAAAAAAAACTAAAGTAATGCTAATCTTTCACCAGCAAATGCCAGTATGTATTAAAAATACTGGAAAGGCCCCTGTTCAGAAGTGCACTATATATTTACAACTGTTTATCAGCTTGGTGCCGTGCAATACAGTCTTCAGTTAAAGATGCTCAGTTGTGCATTGACCTAAAAGTGATTGTAGATGCAGGGAGCAGCAATATTTTTGCCTTCCAAGTATCGTATTAATGCTGATGCACTGGACTAAAGTCTATCTGGATTCCAAATACAATGCTTTATTGGTACTTACCCTTATCTTACCAGTTATCTAAAGTTGCATTATTGTAACTATAATCTTTTAGAAGTAAATACAGCAAAAATTGAAAGCCTCTAGGTTGGCATGTTTTTACTGTTAACTTGAAGAGATCATTCACATCACAGATGTATTTAGTATATGGTGTCCTCAGTGAGAGCCACATTTGAGGCCCTTGTGCCTCTGAACAATAACTGGAACTTGGAGTTTTCAGAGATGACTTGTAGGATGTCATGTGGGATGACAGTGCAAATATCTACATTCCATAAAGTTTTCACTGTGAGGTAGTTTATTGGATGGCATTGAACCTCCAGTACTGTGGGGCTGACCTGCAGGGCTCCCCCATGTGTCTGGGAAATTTTGGGGCAGAGGAGTGGTAGCAGTGTTAATTCCTTCCAGAGACATGGCAATTGACACTGCCACTGCTTCCCCACTGCCAGATTTTTCTGACCTGTGAGGATCTCTACAGTCCAGATGATGCAGCTCCATGCTTCCTCAGTCCATTTACTCCATGGCTGGATCTGATGCTTGGGGTCAGGTCAGTGCATGGAGTCATAGTGTAGCCAGGTCCAGCGTGCAGGTTCACTCCAGATCGCACCCATGGACTGAACCCTACACTCTGCCCGGTTGCTGGATCTGGCTTGAAGACCAATCCCTCATGGGGGATCCAGCTCGTGGGGCCAGAGAGGTTTAGCACCCTTGGCTTTGTCTAAGGAGACGTGTATCTTGGCCTCCCTTAGGGATAAAAGGTGTCACCAGAGGAATATAAGGAAGCAGGCATGGTATCAGCACTGGCTCAAAAATGAAAAGAGGCAAGACAGTTAACTAGCTTTTAGACAGTGTATGCAAACAGTTGGCTAAATGCCATTGTCAGACTACTACAGAACCTTCACATATCCTAAAAGCTACCTTGAGCCAAGCAGAATATACAAACATGTGCCTTATCACCCTGAACCAAGATCTTTCTCTCTCTTCTTCTGGTCCATGTCTCCACTATTACCATGCAGTTATAGCTGCACGTTTCTGATACTGAAAAATTTTCTAACTAATGTCTGATAAGCATAGCCTCTTCAGGCAGAGGTCAGGAACTGTGAGACTGTTCCTTATTCCAGAGATAAAGTTACCAGTTAAAACAAGTTATTTCACCTCTATTTTCTTCAGTTTTGTGGTCCCTCTCACTCTCCCTTTCCCTGCCTTCCCCTGTCTTAGCTGCTGATAACCAAGCAACATATATCTCTTCCATCAGGTAAGGTGGGAGACAGATAAGATGGTGTTTTCACACTCAAAGGTGAGGCTTCTGTTCAGTGATAAGAACCACTGAAGAAAATAGCATCCTTCAACCCAATAAGGGTCTGATCCTCCCTGCCTCTTGATATCAGAAGGAAGCTGAGGGGGTTCAGTATTGTAGGAAATATTCACCCACTAATAGGATCATGCTACAAGTGCTTCATCCTGTCTCTGTTGAAGTCATTTCTAGAGTTTCCTTTGACTTTTAGTGGTTTGAATCAGAGATTCTGAGCATGCATAGTTCCTACTGATTTTAGTGTGAGATATTCTGCAATTCAGAAAATCATTTTGATATTTATTAGATAATTTTGTTCATAAGTATCTGCTTACTGCTTGACAGTAAAATATCTCCATTTCTTGTAGCTATTATTTTTTGTGATAAGAGCTACTTTTTCATGCAAAAAATACTCGGTATGTGTTTCCTAATTTTTTACAACCATCTTGAAATATGCGTGCTTGTGGTTTTCTTTCCCATTTTTTACAGAGGTCTTCCCATTGAGCAGAGTTATGATACAACCCAGTTGAAAAAGAGTGACATCTTCATGAATGATGATCTGTAAGTTCTGATTTATTTTGTGCATATCTTGTGAATAATGACAAGCTGAATAGCTCTTCTGCCTTTAAAGATATTAAGGACAGATGTTAAGGGCAAAATACAAATAGATGCCTTGTATAAAATGCTCTTGTCCAGGAACTAAAGAAGCAAAGAGAATATGAAAGGAAGCTCAAAATGTGGCATTAATGTCCCACTCAGTTTATTATCTCTTGACCCATGGACTTAAGTTGGTTTTACAGATTTATCAGTGTATCACAACTTGCGACATTCAAATGTATTCTCTTATCTCTTGGCCGGAGTCCAGATTTAATAAATAGCATTAAAGTAATTCTGATATCAAGTATGCATCCGATAAATGTTTTCTATCGTATTTTTAGGTAAATGTTGTTTACTTCATTATTTCTATTTAAGAGTAAGTAGCTAGTTGTACTGAACTTGGATAGTATTTAATTAAAAGCTGCAATACACAGTTTTACCACAAGATGGCACCAATAAAGCATTACAACTTGTAGTTCAAAAATAAAGTTTGAGGTTAATGTAACATTAAAGTTTAGGTATCCAAGTTGTAGCTGTATTGGTCTAGAGGCAAAA